ATACACACTATAGCTCCTGAAAGCATTATATACACTTAACTGTCCAAAAAGTTCACTAAACTGGTACCACCCAAGACCTTCTTCAACCTTCATTATAATGTGTTGTGTTGTGTGTGTTGTGTGTTGTGTTGTGTGTGTGTTGTTGTTGTTGTTGTTGTTGTTGTTGTTATATGTTGTGTGTTGTGTAGTATCTCTCTGTTGTAGTTGTTGTAGTTGTTGTTGTTGTTGTTGTTGTTGTTGTTGTGTTGTGTGCATTGTATGTCTCCTGTGCTGCGTGTCTACCTGGTATCTGCAGTGCTCTGCGTCTGTCTGTGTGCTGTGTGTATGTCTGTATGCTATTTTGTCTGTCTGTGTGATGTGTGTCTCTGTCTGTGTGATGTGTGCCTGTCTACATATGTGGTGTGGCTCTTTGGTTGTCTGTGTGTGTTGTGTGGTGTCCGTCTGTGTGCTTGCTGTGCATCTGGCTGTGTGTTGTGTGTCTCAGACTCAGTGTCTGCCTGTGTGTTGTGTGTCTCTGTTTTTGTGCTGTGTGTGTCTGTGTGTCTGTTTTTGTGCTGTGTGTCTATCTGTGTGCTGTGTGTTTGTCTGTCTGTGTCGTGTGCTCTGTGTGTGTTTATGTGCTCTGTGTCTGTCTGTGTGCGTCTGTGTGCTTAATACATATATACATTGCACACACCGGTCACCGCCGCGGTGCCTCTTTCGCACACGACACAGCGCTACACACAACACACAGGCACGCCGAGTCCACTAAGAGCTACAGGGAGCACCACATCCCAGCACGTACAGTTCCGGACGGGCATTAAGAACCCCCCCCCCCCAATTAAGAACCTGAGGCTTACATTTCGGCGGATTGTCGCCAATCTAGCTAAGAACCTGAGCCTGGGCTAAGGCTAGGTCGGACACCCATCTCGAACCCACGACCCGGTACAGCACACGCTGATGCGCATCTACAGCACACGCTGATGCGCAGCGCGTGCGTAGGCAGGACTACCCTGTCCTGGCCTATCGGCCTATCTATCCTCACAGCCTCCAGCAAGACCCACGCGTTGGGCACCTCGTTGTGCCCGTAGTCGTCGAGAGAGAGCACGTGCAACGGTCGTATGACCCCCCCCCCCCCTAAGAACCTGAGGCTCGCGTGCCGGCCTGCCTTCGACATAGCTAAGAACCTGAGCCTGGGCTACGAGCGCCGCAGTTCTTAATGCCCGTCCGGAACTGTACTCGAGTATCGTTCTAGCACCCGATGTGGCAGTCGAGCGACTCCCTCTCGAAGGCGTTGCCAGCGGTGCCGCAGCGGGCCGATTTGCCCCCTTCGCGCGCCTCGCGATCGCAATACGAGTGGCACACATCGCACACGGCATTTTTCCACTGGTCCAAAACAGAGTCGACGGAACACACCAAATCCATCACGGACTTGACTAGGCCTTCGCCACGTTTGTCGCAAGTAGGAAGCTGGCGAACCTCATCCTGCAACTTGCGAATGACGTCCTTCATTTTGTTCTTCCCGTCTGTCACGCAGGGCTCAAGGTTCCACAAATCACACGTCTTGTGAGGCTCGATGAGAGCTGCAAGCGCGACATAGACACCCGCTTCGATCGCCTCATCCACAATCGAATCGACGAACAGCTGGCAGACAAATCGCCCCTCGTTCACGTTGACAAAGTTGGACGTAGCTGCCGAGACGTAGCCGGAGTAGTGGACGCAGGGATGCCCCTCCCACGCGGTCTCGCCGTCCATGCAGTGGCGGTGCTCCTCCACCTTGAAGACGGAGATGCCCCACGCTTGGTCGGCCTGTTGGTCAGAGCTGCACGTCGACGTCGGCTCGAGCAACGCGATGTTCTTGTGATCCCACGCGCTCGAGACCAGCGCGTCCGCCTCTGCTGCGTCGCCCTCGATGGTCTTCGCGAGGTGGTGCGGGAAGTCGGTGAACTTGACCGCCGTCTGCGGGTAGTAGTTGAACTCGATGTCGGCCATGAAGTGCGCCGCCGTATCGCCCTCCGTCTCGCTCGCCTCGACGTCGCGCTCCTTCATCACGACATTGAGATTCGAACAGAAGCCAGAAGTGGCAATCAGCCAGGCGGGGTCGTCGACCACGTCGGGCACGGGAGGGTTGGGCTTGGGCGCAAATGTGGTGCTGCGAGCGGTCGGGTTGATGTCGTGGACGGTTTCCGCCTGCGCACGCCGGTCTGCGCGTGTGAGGCTCAGCCTGCCTGAGTGAGTGATTGTGGTGGGGCGGAGCACCGGCAGGGCAGACGTCGGCAGCGCGACCAGAAGCGGGGCCAACTTCAGCAGCATGGGCAAGCGGGCCGAGGACTATAGGAGTGCAAGTCCGGCCGATCCGCCGATTTTGATTTAAAAAAACCCTCTCCATGAATGCACCCAGTAGTCAGCACATCCCGTACAAACTTACAGATCACACAATAGTGATACAGGCAAAGCACACACACACGCACGCACACACAGCCAACAGTATCAGAAGTGCAATAAATACTCGAGCGTCGAGGAAGCCAGAACGTACCTCGGTGTGTACAGCGCTGGTGCTCGTCCGTTGCGAGTGCGCGCAGCGCAAACAACACCAATGCTTCTCAGTCCGCGGACCGCCAAGCCCTGGAGGCTGTGCTTCATTCACCTGTGACCTGCCTGTTGAGGGAGGGAGGGAGGATCTGGGGAGGGTGTAGAGCTAGAGGAAGAGGATATAGAGTGTAGAGCGACGTAGAGCGCGAATTACAACCGCTCCACGCTACGCCGCTTGCGGCGGTCCTAAGAAAGAAAGAATTCAAAAAAACAACTCTCGCGCCGGACACATTCGACAAAGAGCTGCTCAGGCGGCTGCCCAGGCCGCTCAGGCGGCCGCTCTCGGACGGTACAGGTTGGTCAACGCTTGGTTCTATCCTCGCGGCGACTGGTACACCTTGTACTGGGACGGCAGCTCGGCCGACAAGGTTGCAAGGCGCGCTGTCTTCCCGACGCTCGAGCACGACAACTACGACCCCGGCCCCCTCGCAGAGCGCATCAGGCGCGACAAGCGCGAGGCGTCCCACCGCTCCTCCGACGACTCCTCCTCCGACCAAGACTCATGCGGCTCCGGCTCTACTAACTCCGACGACCATTTCGGCTATACGGTTCCGACTCCGGCTTCGGCTGGTAGTCGACAAGCTGCCGAGCCCAAATCACTGTGCGTCAGGGCTGGTGGATTAACATTAACACACCTCAGGGGCAGCTCTGACTACAGATCGTGCCAACACTTGGCGCAAAGGTCGGTGTTAGCACAGTCGAACGGCAGTCCCAAAACAAGCGTTACCCGTTAGCACAGCCGTTAACACGGTGTTGACACACGCTCCGGGTAAAACCCGGGTATACCTGCAAAAAACCGGGTATACCCGAGAAATACCTGGGTCCGCGTCAATGCCGCGCGCGCCCTACTCCCAGGGCCACTGCGCCAACTGCAGCGCGCACCGTCTGCTCAAGTACGCGCACCGCACCATGTGCTGCCGCTACAAGTGCCAGAAAGCGGCTGCGGCGCAGCGGCAGGCGCGGCTGGCCCCAGGTGGCGGTGCGGACGATGCGGTCGTGCCGACATTCTGCTTCAAGATTGATGCGGTGCTCGGCATGCGCTTCTGCGAGCCCGAGCAACTCATCGCAAAGAAGCGGCGCAACAGGCTGGCTGCTGCCGACAAGGCCGTGTGCTACCTCACGCGAGGCACTTTCAAAGAGGACAGCAATGACGCTGGATTCATCGACACGCGCTGGGTGGAGCTCGAGGAGCTGTACGAGAACTGTGGCAAGACGCCGCTGAAGAATGCGCTCAAGAAGTACCGAAAGGCGGAAGAGGAGGATGTGGATGCAGCGATTGCCGACTTAGAGGAGGGCGTCGAGCACGAGGGATAATAATGAATAGGCGCATTGGCATGGCTGGGGACGCCCATGGGACATGTTCGCAATCGCAGCTGCGGGTGTGAAGTGAATATGCTAGACGGCGGGTCAACACCTCCCGAGGGGCGGTGTTAACACGTTTTAACACCTCTACGGCTGTGGTGTTAACCGTTAACGTGTCAACACCGTGTTAACGTTAATCCACCAGCCCTGCTGTGCGTGCCAGATTTCTTGTCGGCTTCATTCTAAAAATCTCTCTCAAAGAAAGAAAGGGTCATAGCCAACAGTGCGCTGCGAGAGGTAGTGTTATCGGACACGGCTCCGGGCTCTGATGCTGTGAGCCCCGGACCCTCCTTGCGAAGCACACTCTCGCCGGTGTGGAAGGGGGGAGTCCGGAATCGCCGAGAGCAGCGCGTGGGAACATGGCCTCGCGCTGGGAAAACTCTTTTGTCCTACTCACTCTTAGCCTTGAAGTACAACGACCTGTGGGTGTGAGCCAAGTCCGTGGCTAAGCCGAGTTGGGGCAGCGAGCGGCCGGTCAGGTCGACCCGAGCCAAGTCCGTGGCTAAGCCGAGTTGGGGCAGCGAGCGGCCGGTCAGGTCGACCCGCCCGTGCCCAGCCCGCTTGTGGCCGCCCCGACAAATGGCTATTTGCTCAGGCCAAGTCCAGACACACTAGAGGACTGCCTGAGCACACAGGGGCATGTACTACTTACTATATTCACACCTACTGTGCTGTTTTCACACCGATCATAATACGCGATCGCGCAGGTGCGTACGGGGTAGCCGACACTTAGGTCTTAGCACTTTCATCCTGCCTCACAAGGGCGGGGCTGTCCCGGAAAGTGAGAAACGCCGGGCAGCGTGGTGCACGACTTCAACCTTCCATACGTGTTTTGTTCCGCTTTTTATTCCTCGGGCTGTTCCATCCTCCCATCTCCTTCCAACCTAGGCGAGGCGGGGGGGCGGGGTGCGGTGCGGTGCGGGTGTGTGCGTGTCATGTGGCTACAGCGAGTGACCATCCGTCTGTATTGTTAAAAACGAAGGCCTCTCAAAAAGAAAGAAGAAAAAGTGCTGCCGGCCGAGGATACGCGCCAGGCCCAGCGGAGTGAAACCACAGCAACTCTGGCGATGGACCTCGACAGGGCACTCGGCACCCTGGGAATCTCGTCCGCCGGCGCGCCTGTCGCGCCGGTCAAGGCGAACACGGACAAGCCTCCCGTCAAGGTGCTCACCAAGAAGCAAAAGGAGGCGCTCGCGGCAAAGGAGGCGGAGGAGAAGCGGCGGAAGAAGGCAGCCGCGCTGGCGGCGGGCGACAAGCCGAAGAAGAAGAAGGACAAGCCCAAGCCGGCGGACGAGCCGGCGGACGCGGAGGCCTCCGCGTCCGCCGCCGCCGCCGGCGAGCAGGCTGCGGCTGCAGCGGCTGCTGCGAGCAAGGAGGAGGCTGCGGCGGCGGCCTCCAAGGAGGAAGCGCGGGCGGCGGCGGCGGCGGCGAGCAAGAAGGCCGCCGCCGCCGCCGCCGCGCGCGAGGCCGAGGCCAGCCGCGTCGCGATGCGCCAGCTGCTCTCCCGCCTGGTGTCGGGCTCGCACGAGGCTACGGCGCAGGCGGTGCGGGCGGCGGCGGCGGCGGGCAAGGGGGGCGCGGCGAGCGAGGAGAGCGGGTTCGAGCTGCCCGAGGCGCCCTCCGTCGAGGCGCTCGAGCGCTTCCTCGCCGAGGCGGCTAGCGCAGCCTCCGCCTCGGCGGCGACGGCGGCTGCCATCTACGTGAGCGCCTGCGCTTCGGGGCTCGGTCCGGTGCCGCTCCACGCGACACGAGCGGTGCCGCGGCTGATGAATGCGGCGCACGAGTCGGCCGAGGACCGCTCCGCGCCGCACGCCCGCGAGGCGGCCGTCCTCTGCCTTAACGGCGCGGCCGAGAGCGGCGGAGAGGCGCGAGAAGAGACGAGGCGAGGCGTCGCGCACTCCTCACCCCCGCTGCCCCTCCCTCCGCTCGCAGGCATGTCGGAGCGGCTCGGCTTCGCGTTCGAGCCGCTCGCGCTGCCGCAGCTGCCTCAGATCGTCGCCCTGGTCGGCGACCGCGACCGCAAGGTCGGCGAGGCCGCCGTGCGCACGCTCGAGACGGTCGTGTCGTGCCTCGACCCGCTCGCGGTGCCTGCGGCCATGCCGGCAGAGCCGCGAGCCTCGGGCGGCGTGGGAGCGGGAGGAGGCTTGTGCTGCAGCTCGCCCGGCGGCTTGTCGATAGGCGCTCTACCACGGGATGCGGACGGTCTCGTGGCACGTCAAGGAGGTTTGCTTGCGCACGGTGCTGCAGACCCCAGATGCGGAAACAGATGCTACCAGGTCACAGTACGGGTTCGGGACCTGTTCACATGCGGAGACGCTCACACCCGTCGAGGAGACTCCTCGCACCTCTTCAAGCCGTGTCCCGCTGCACTCGTGGCTCCCGCAGCCCCGCGAGGCGCAGCCTCAAGCCGCGTGCGTGCGCTCTCCAGGTTGGCCGCCTCGCCGCCCGCGCGCCGGGACCGCTCGGCGCCTGCATGCCGGAGTGCGTCCCCGCGGTGATCGAGTGCCTCAACGACTCGAACGCTAAGGTGCAGTCGGCGGCGTCCGAGGCGAGCCCACGAGACGAGACGAGACGAGACGGCGTCCGGTGCGAGTAACGAGCTGCTCCTCAGGTGATCCCGACACTTCCTAGACACTTCCTGGACACCTCCTAGACACTTCCTAGACACTTCCTAGACACTTCCTAGACACCTCCTAGACACCTCCTTGCTCCTCAGGTGATCCCGACCATGCTCTCCTGCGTCGACAACCCGGAGACGCAGTCGCTCAAGGCGATGATCGTGCGCGCGCTGCGAGAGCCGAGCTTCACTCTCGAGGCGGTGGACGAGATCCTGAGCCAGACCTTCGTCAACGCGATGGACGGTGCGACATCACCCGAGACCACCCGAGACGAGCCTCTGACAGCCAGACCTTCCGCCAAAGCGATGGACGCCTCCTCCGCTCGCCTCTCTCTGCTGCCTGTCCTGCTGCCTGCGGAAGGGACGGATGGGTGAAGGGAATGGTGGGTGAAGGGAATCGGTGGGTGGACTAGGCACCTCGCTCGCCTTTCTGATGCCCATCCTGCTGCGCGGACTCCGGTGCGTTCCCTGGCTCCGCCCCTCACGCGCCCCCGCCCCTCGCCCCATGACGTGGCCCTCACCCCCTCCCCGCAGGTCGGAGACGTACGAGCTCGTCAAGAAGGCAGCCACTTGCGCCGGAAACATGTGCGCGCCGCCCCCTTCCCACCCTCGCCCGCCCGCCGCCGCCGCCCCGCCAGCAGAGTGATGACCGATGTTGTCGCCCCAGTCCGAGCCTCTTTGGGGATGCGGATTGACCATTTTGCACGTCAGTCTGACTGCGGCCGCCGCCCCCTTCCGCCGCCCGCAACCCCGCGCGCTGCCCGCCACCAGAACGCCACGCCGCGCGAGACGCCCCCCGTGACGCCGCCCTCCGCCCTCCGCCCTCCGCCCCGCCGCCCCTCAGGTGCGCCCTCATCGTCAACGGCGCCGAGCTCGCGCCCTTCCTTCCCGAGCTCAACCCGGCGCTCGAAATGGCGCTCGAGCACTCGTCGCCCGCCGTGCGCGCCGAGGCGGCCACGGCGCGCGACAAGCTGCTCGAGGGGGTTGGCGAGCTGCAGGCGTCCGCGCGAAAGGGCCGCGACGTCGTGAGCGAGCTGCTGCGCACGCGGCTCGCCGACGCGCTCGGCGCGGCGACCACGCCGCCCGAGGTTGCTGCTCACATGGGCTCGCTCGGCACGTCGCTGCTCGAGCGGCTCTTCGCGGGCAAGCTGTCGACTTCGCTGCTCGCCGAGGCGCCGCAGCGGCTCGCGGCGGAGCTCGTCCCCCTCGCCGTCGCAGTCGGCGCGACGAGCCTGGCCGAGAAGCTTCCTCCCGTCTGCGAGGCTGCGGTGGAGGCGTTCGTCGAGCAGCTGCCGCTCCGCGCCCAGCAGGTGCTCACCTCCTCCGACGGCAAGGACTACCTCGTCGACGTGCAGAACTGCATCCTCGCCTTTGCCGGCCGCGTCCTCCTCAAGAAGGCCGACATCCGCTTCCAGCGCGGCCACCGGTACGGCCTCATCGGCCAGAACGGCGTCGGCAAGACCACGCTGCTCAACCGGCTCTCGGCGGGCGACATCCGCGGCTTCCCGCCCGGCCTAAACGTGCACTACATCCGACACGAGGTGGTCTGCGAGGACGGCGTCGACGTCGTCGCCTTTTGCATGCAAAAGGCGACCGGCCATCCACTCACCCCGCCCTCCCCTCTCCGCCCCGGCCGTCCTCATCCCTCCCGCCCCTTCTCGCCTCGCCCCCGCCGCAGGCGCCCGCCGGGCTCGCGGACGCCGCTGTGCGCATCGAGGGCGTGCTCGCGGAGGTCGGCTTCACCGACGAGCTCCGCGCGAGCGAGGTCAACAACCTGTCCGGCGGCTGGAAGATGAAGCTCAGCGTCGCCATCTCGATTCTGCACGCGCCCGAGCTGCTGCTGCTCGACGAGCCGACCAACCACCTCGACCGCAAGGCGGTCGAGTGGCTCAAGTCGCACCTTCTCTCCCTCACCGGCGTGACGATGGCCATCGTCTCGCACGACTACGCCTTCATCGACGAGGTGTGCACCGACATCACCCACTACGACAACGGCGGACACGCCGGCAAGCCGTGCCGCTTCGTCTACTACCCGATGACATTCCGCCAGTTCCAGCAGCTCCGGCCCGAGATTGCGGCCGGCCTGCCCGCCAGCGGGAAGGCCACCGGCGCGGCGGACGACGGGACGGGGTACGTCGACCCGAGGACGGGCCTCGAGCTGTGAACAGCGTCTCTTCACACCTCTGGCTGTGAACAGGTACGTCGACCCGAGGACGGGCCGGCTCATCCCGTGGGGAGACGGCGCCGAGCCGTCCGACGAGGGCGGCTCGGAGAGCGGCACCGGCTCCGCCCTCTCCACCCTGTCCAACGTCGAGCAGCTCGTCGCGTCGGGCTCGATCCTGCCGATCCGCTTCCCCGACCCGGGCAAGCCGGAGGGGATCCGCACCTACCGCAAGCCGGTGATGACGATGAAGGACATCCACTTTACGTACGAGGGGAGCGAGCGCGCCATCATCACGTCCGCGAGCGTCACCGTGACGCTCGGCTCGCGCGTCGTCATGCTCGGCGCAAACGGCGCGGGCAAGACGACGCTGCTCAAGCTGCTGATCGGCGACCTCGAGCCGACGGAGGGCGTGGGCGAGGTGTGGAAGCACCACAACCTGCGCCTCGCCTACATCGCGCAGCACTCGCTCCACCACCTCGAGGAGTACCTGCAGCAGACGCCGATCGCCTACATCCAGGAGCGCTTCCGGCAGGGCCTCGACGTCGAGCTGTCCAAGCTCAAGACGCTGGCCCTCACCGACGACGAGAAGGCGATCCGCGACCAGACGGGCGCCGTCAAGGACGTCGTCGGCCGGCAGAAGCGCGGCAAGCAGGTCTGGTACGAGGTGGTCAAGCCGGGCCGCAAGGGCGAGGCGACGCAGTGGTACCCCCTCGAGGAGATTGAGACCCAGTTCAAGCCGTGAGCCGCGCCCCTCCGCCCCGCACCCGGCTTGCCGCCGCCCTCCTGCACCCCTCCGACCCGCCGATGCCGCGACACGCCGACGAGCGGCGCCCTGCACCGCGCAGGTACGTGCTCAAGATGGTCAAAAACTACGACCTCAAGGTGCAGGCGCTCGAGTCCGGGCTCGCGGTGCGGCCGATCACCTCGGCCGAGATCCTCGAGCACCTCGACGACTTTGGGCTGGGCTCGGACCTCGCGCACGGCAAGATCAAGCAGCTCTCGGGCGGGCAGCGGCAGCGGCTCGTCATCTGCGCCGCCTTTTGGTCGAAGCCGCACCTCATCGCCCTCGACGAGCCGACCAACTACCTCGACAACGACACGCTCGCCGCGCTCACGCAGGCGCTCAAGGGCTTCAAGGGCGCCGTCGTCACCGTCTCGCACAACGAGGATTTTGTCAAGGAGATCTCCAACGAGCGGTGGGTCGTCGCGGGTGGCAGCGTCACCGTCGAACAGCTTCGCGACGCAAAGGCGCGCTGAGGGGCGCGGGTGTGCCAGTGCGGCCCCCGCTGTGTGAGGCGGAGTCTCTCGTCGTTTGATATAACGCGGAAATGTGCACCTCCCCAACGCCAGACGGCACCGCGCACACGGACACCACTCCAGTTCATAAGCCCCCGCCGCCCCCGCGCGCGGCGCGCCGGCGCCACCCACGGGCACGGCCACGCCCTCGGACGGTTTTCTCGGTCTTGCAGTCGCTCTGGGGGGGCGCGGGGGCCCCCGGAGGCACCGTGCGCCGCGCTGCGCGCAGCAGTGCGGAAACGGGGCTCCGGCGCTCAGAGTCGCTCAGAGCACCGACTTCCCGAATGAGTACGGTTGAGTAGAGGGCAGATTTGGAGAGATCTCGAGGAGTACATACAGATAGGCCCTCCAACCATAAGAAAACTCCGACCTGATCGGTCGTACTGACCGCCGACAGATCACTCCAGACAGCAGACAGGCCGACGTCTGCACGCGGCCGGCCGGGCGAGAGGCTTGACACGATACGACCCTGCGACCGTGACGCTGCTGGTCTAGCTATCAGACATGCACTGGTGACTGCTGCCACAATGTGCGACCGGTGCTGGCCCACTTGGCGGCCTTCCCGGTCAGTGGTGAGGCGCAGTTCAGAGCTGTCGATGGCGCGATGCCGCACTGGTCCCACATTGGTAACACGAGACCACCACGTTTGCCGGTCCAAGAGAGAGGCACTGGTGCTGTCCTGAGAAGGTGCGTGGTCCCTCTTGACTGCCCATGCGCGCGAGGCTGTTTAAGCATAGCCTCGAGAGTGCCAGCAGCCAATCTGAGGCAGTTGTGACGCGCATTGCGTCAGAAGCGTGCACGCGCTGGAAGGACACCTTCCTACTGGCCGTACGATCAGGTCGTCACTGAATGCTTGATACTAAGGCCGCGAGCTATGCAGGTGATCAATTGTGCAGCATGGCACGGTCAGCAGCGCCGACAGGCTGTCGCAAGGCGTGATAGCATGGCCGCAAGTACGCCGAATTCCCATGAAAACAAAAGTGAAAAATCGCGCAAAAAGAAAAAATCAAATCCGGCGCCTGCGGCGGGCCATGGGACCCCATCGCCCCCCCGCATGGATACCCTCTAGGGCCCCCGCCCCCCCCCAGAGTGCAGTCGGTGTCCGGTGTGACGCTGACGGGGCTCGGGGGGTCTTGGAAGCGCTCCCCTCAGCCCCTTGGAAGCTCCCCTCAGCCGGCGCGGTGCGCAAAACGCGATCAGAGCGGCTGATCCTCGCGCGATCGATCATCGAATCGTGCGAGCTCACCCCCGACCCTCCAGCCTCCTCACAGACTGACCTCACGGCAGCGCGCCCTCTCGAGACGAGAAACCACGAAAGCCGTACCTCCCCGTACGGCTGACCGTGTATGGCCGACGGGGCTCAACCCATGCAAGTCGTTGCCCCACGGGCGCAGCGCTCTGCCTCTTCGGGCCTCAGCGCAGGCCGGGCAGCTGCCGGGGCAGGAAGCGCGACCGCTTCGAGGGCGGCTTGTCCTGTGCGGCAAGGGGCGGCCGAGGGGGTTCCTGGAGAGAGCGGCGGGTTCTTGGAGAGAGCCTGTGGGGGCTGCCCGGCGCCCAGCGAAAAGGGAGGGCGGTGGGCATGCCGGCGCCGCGCCTTTGTGGTGGAGGGGCCCTCGCAGAAAGTGACGACGAGCTTGCGCCGCGCGCGCGTGCAGGCGACGTAGGCGAGGCGGCGCTCCTCCTCGAAGTGCTGCACGTACTCCATCGAGTGTGGCTCGAGCCGGGGGAGGAGCGGCAGCGAGCCCTCCTCCAGATGGCAGGCAAAGACAAGGTCCCACTCCATGCCCTTTGCCTGGTGGATCGTCGTGACAACCACGGGCGGGGCGTGGCCCGAGGGAGCGGCCTGCCCCTGCCCCTGCCCGGGGGCCGTCATCGGGTCGTACAGCGCCAGGTTCATGTCATCGATGAATTTCTTGAGACGCTCGAGGGCGGGCACGACGCGGCCCGCGCCTCCCCCGCGCCCGGGCGCAGAGGCGGCGCTGCCGACCTGCTCGGCGGTGCGGAGGAAGCGCGAGAGCTGCAGACTGACGGCGCGGCGCGTGCTTGACGCGGCGCTCTCGCCGTCGTCGCTCGACTCGTCTGAGCCGGCGTGCGCCCCCGCGGCGCGGTGCGACGTCGACGACGCCACCGTGAAGGCGGCGCGCTGCGACGCGCGGGTGACTCGTTCCTTCTCGAGCATCGCCTCGAGGCCGATCCGCCGCGCGTGCGCCTCGAGGAGGACGTCGATCGGCGGCGCGTCGGCGGCGAGGGCCGCCACCCGCAGCGCCTGCGAGGACACACAGAGGGGGATGTCGCGAGCTGCGCCGCGTGGGGCAGGAGCCCACAGCCCCCCCCACCTCGTAGTCTTGGAGGAAGCTCGAGAGTGCCTCTTGCTGCGGCCTCGAGAGGCGGCTCGGGCCGGCCGGCGGCCAGCCCTTGCGCGCCGCGTGGATCGCTGCGACGAGGAGGCAGACGCTGCGCTGGCCGTTCGACTTGGACGCGGCGAGCGAGCGCAGGTACCGGATGCCAGGGGACGCCTCGCCGCCTCCGAAGCCGGCGCGGCTCGGCGCCGCCACGCACGCCAGGAAGGAGAGGTCGTCCTTGGGCTCGACGACCAGCCGCAGCCACGCGAGAGAGACGGTCGCGGCGGTGCTTCCGCCGCCGTCGCCGCCGACGCCGACGCCACCGTCCTCCCCCTTCTCGGCTTGCACGCACGCCACGCCGTACTCCTTGAGCGCGCGCCGCAGCGCCAGGCAGTCGACGCGAAGCCGGCAGAGCAGCGCGATGGAGTGCGTGGCCTCTCGCCCGCCCTCTGACCTCTCCTGCGTGGCCAGCACCTCGCGGCAAATCGCCTCAATCTCAGCCTGCCGGTCGACCTTTTGGATCACCATGACCTCGCCGGCGGCCGCGCGCGGGGCGGAGAGCAGCGGGAGATGCTCTCGCAGAGGCGAGCCCTCGATGAGGCTCTTGGCGAGGTTGAGGATGGAGGACGCGCAGCGGTAGTTGGTGGGAAGGATGAGCGGCATACACCCAAACGCGGCAGTCAGACGGGTAAGCATGTCGGGTTGAGAGCCGCGAAAGCCGTAAATCGACTGGTCGGCGTCGCCCACACAAGTGACCACGGTGGAGCTGCGCGGGGCCAGCCGCTGCAGAAAGGCGAGTTGCGATCCAGAGGTGTCCTGCGCCTCGTCAAGCAAGACATGAAGGTAGCTGCCATTCGGCATCGCGCACGCGCCCGCATCGATCGCCTCGGTCGCCATCGGCACCATGTCGTCAAAGTCGATGAGGCCCTTGGCGGCCAGAGCACAGTTGTACGCTCTGAGGATATCTCTCTCCTCGGCGCTCAGCGCGCCGCCGCTGCCTGCCTTGGCCTTGGCAACAACCGCGAGGGCGGCGCGGACGGCACTGCGCGACTGCTGCCGCCCGTCTCCCGGGCTCTCGTTGAGCAGTCCGAGGTCGAGAAGCACAGCCTTCATCTCCTTGCGCGCGACTCGCGGCTCCATGACCGTGGACGTGCAGCCGGCCTGGCGGAGGCAGGCGAGCGCGCGTGCGTGGTAGGTGTTGACCGCCGGAAGTTCCGCAGGCGGTGGGACTGCACGCTCGATCTTGCTCAGCAGATCGGCGCGACTCTTGGTGGAGAAGGTGAGGACAAGCACGCGGCTTGCCGGCATCCCAGCGTCGAGCAAGGACTTGACCCGCAGAGCTAGCGTAGTGGATTTGCCAGAGCCGGCGCAGGCGCAGACGAGGAGGCTGCGCTCGGACGGGAAGTCCACGACGCACCGCTGGAACTGGTCGATGGTGGGTGTAGACGAAGACGACATTTTGGCCGTCTCCTCTGCCGGGAACGGCGCCTGAAGTTAAGGTCATTCACGGGTGTCCCGGCCCATGTGCCCGCTGGTAGGACAGTGATCGCCGCAAACCCTGTGGTCAGCTCCATGCGATCTCGGATATTTTTTGTAGGCACCGTAACACCAAAACTACTATGTCTTCGAGTGAAAAGTAATCCGAGCAGGCACGCGGCCGCAGTGAATTAAAAGGGGCGGTTTTCGAGGGGGAATCTGGAGAATCTGGGAATCGGCTCACCACGGACCCCCACCTCCTCGAAAAACTTTTCACTCCAAGAGATAGTACTTTTTTAAGGTGCTCTACAACCTAGGCACAAAAGATATGGCATTGCAGGCCATTTAGGGCCCCTTAGACGATCACTGAGTAGGCCGAAATCCCCACTGGGCCGGGAGCAACCTTAAAGAATTTTGGAAATTCCGTTTTACCGGCTTATTATTTATTGGCCATTGCCCCGTCATCCTTTTGTTTTGTTTGTGTGCGTGCCGGGGGGGGGGGGGGGCGCGCGCTCTCTTCACTGTTTTGTTTCTCTAATAACCCGCATCACGGGCGGCAGCCGGCCGCGGGCCGTGCCAGTGCGCTCTTTTTCGAGAGAGTGGGAGATATTCGTTTAGCAATACCAAGGGACACAGGCACACCACGAAAAAGATATGGTCCGCAGACGTGGCGACAAGTATCCAAGTCACGAACAGATCATGAGCAGCAGGGACCCGAGGGACGACGTGGACGACGGCTCTGGCCCTGTAGATAGACGCCCCCTGTATGACATTCACGGCGAGGGGCAAGCGCTAGCCCTCCGCCTCCGTTACCGCCCCCGCCCCCGCCTCCGCCGCAGGGTCCGGCCCGCACACAGACCGACGACGCCTCCCCCGCCGCTCTGAAGGTGCCGACGCGGCCGACTCGGCTGTCCACCTTGCGCTTCTCCTGTTGCGGGACCACACCCGCGCTGGCTGCCAGCCCCTCCGCCTGCGGCGTGCCGCCCCTCCGCGCCCCCCCTCTCCGGCGCCGCCGCGGCCTCCGCCCCCGGAGCCTCCCCGACTGCGCGCGCGTACGCCACTGCCGCCTCGACCGCCGTGTCGAAAAACCCCAGATGGACGAGCTTTGCACCACCCGCCCGGAACATCACTCGAAAGTTGGCGCCAGAACCGGCCTGGTACACGCCCTTGTACCCCGTTGCGTTGGTGGACACGTGCAGTCTCAAGCCCTCTGCTTCTGCCGGTGTAGCTCCGAGCTCCGCTGCCGGCGCCGCCGCCACACTTGGCTTTGCCCTCTTCACCGCCGACGCCGCACCGGCGCGCAACCTCTTTGTTGGCCGCTCGCTTCCGTGCGCGGCGGCCTCCGAATCCACTCCTGCGCCGGTTCCGCCGCCGCCTCCTCCTTCGCCGCCGACTTGGCCTCGGGTCCTAGCTGCTGCGGCGCTGCGCTCGAGCCGCTCCTTCGCCTCCCGCAGCTCGTGCTCCTCCAAATCCTCCGAGTCGCCGTCGTCGTGCTCGATCCGCCACAGCGCGGGCTCGTCCTCCGCATCGCCTGGCGGCAGGTAGAGGCGCACCGCCGCGCGGACGACGCCGTGGCCCTTGACCCGCCGTAGCACCCGTTCGCCGACATGAGGGCCCTCGCTCAGCCAGCCCTCGGCAGCCGGCCCCTCTCTGCTCTCAGCCGAGTAGGAATCAGAGTCGGGCGCGTCGGGGGGTGAGCGCAGCTGCTGCGACAGCTGGATGCGGGCGCTGCCACCCCGTGGCTGGACGCCGGGCGTGGCGGCGGGGACAGGTTTGCTGCGGACGGGCCACGCCCAGCGGCAGACGTGGCCGCGCTTGGGTGCGCCGCAGAAGGGGCAGAGCGATCGGTCGGGGTGCATGCCGCAGCTCTCAGCCTGGAAGCGGAAGCACCGGCCAGGCAGCGCCATGCTGGCTCTATGGGGAGGCCGCAGCGCGGCGTGCGACGGGCGGTCCAGTAGACGCGCGAAACCAACGTGATTTTATTTGACTGTGCCTTCGACAGGCGGTGAACCTTCTTTTCTACCGGGCTAGGATTGAGAGCAGCCTCGCTCTCAATCCTAGAAGTCGAAGGATTGTGAGCAGCACTCCTCGCAATCGTAGCATCTCTGTGAGATTGTGAGTGAGCACCCACACGATGATGGAAAAAGAAACACGCCTCGATTTTTTTGCCCAAGGGCGACGCGGATCGTCCGCAGGGGGGCCAGCCCGTCTATACCTCGGTTGCCACCTTCGCCGCCGCCGCCGCAACGCATTGGGGCGAACATATGGGCTTCTTTCCGATGCAGGTGCGCTGGCCACGCATTGCGGCCACCGCTGAATGGCGGGAGTCCCTGCGGGCGGGCCTCCTCGTCCCTGCCGCCGACGCTGGGACCTGCGAGGCTGGGACGAGTGGCCATGTCACTGCTGGTGATGCTGGTAGCACCTACCCATACATCCGCGCGACGAACAATGGTGAGGCAAAGGTGTCCGACAAGCAGGTCCAGGTCTCTGAGCGAGAGATCATTGACCAATGCGACCTCGAGGCCATGAGTCTGAGCGATCCCCGGTTGGACGCGCTGAGGGCCGCCCGCGAGTCGATGCTACAGCGCAGCCGTCGCCGCCTCCCTGCTCTGCTCGTCACGTTTGCGATCGAGTTGATGGTGGCCTTCGTCATCACCAAGGCCCGCCGATCGCCCAGATGGAGTCATGGAGATGCCCTCGGCGGATGCCCCTTACCTCTCACCGATCTCTGCCCCCGGCGGATGCCCCTCACCTCTCGCTGATCGCCCCAATGCCCTCGCAGTACACCAACAACATCCTCGCCGACCGGCCGCTCCTGATCGCCTTTATGCCCGTGATCTCGGCCATCAGCGGAAACATCGGTCTCCAATCCTCCGCCATCAACGCCCGTGCATTGGCACTGGGGCTAATCAACCCGTCGGAGTGGAGAGGCGCCATTTCGCACGAGTTGAAGGCCGGTCTCATACTCGCTCTCGTCTGCGGCCTCCTTGTCGGCTTCGTGTCTGCCAACTTCCCAGACCCGTCGCACTGCCAGCGCTCGCCAGACTTCTTCTTCGGGTCGGCGGTGGGCTTTTCGATGTTTTGCTCCATGCTGGTCGCCTCGCTCAACGGCGCGGTGGCGCCGCTAATTTTTGTGAGGCTCGGCTACGACCCGACCGCTCTCGCGGGCCCGCTCGAAACGGCCTTCCAGGACGTCTGCGGCAACATCCTGTTCCTCTCGCTCGCGTCGTTTATCCTGCGCTGGGACCACGGGGTGGCAGAGTGTGGAGGCGGGTGAAGGTGATGAACGCGGCGGTTTCAAATTATTTTTTCAACAATAAAGAAAACAGACAACCCCAAGGGAGGGGTGGGAGGACGGCACGCCGCCACCACGAGCACACAGCTCACAGGGATTTTAAAGAAGCGGGGGGGAGAAAAGTGTCCGGTGCAGCTGCAGGAGTGGTGCGTCCAGCCGTCTCGCCCACCCTTGCGCCTTGGGCGTCTGCCCTCTTCCACTTCCTATCTCTCTTCGCAGTCCCTCGCCGATTCTCGCAGCAACCTTCATGCCACCACGCGGTCGTCCCACCCTCGTCGTTCTCGCTCCTGCCCCCCCGGTCGTCCTCTGCCACCAGTCTGCCTCATCGCTCTTTTAATAATCGCTATCCTCATTCTGCGGCGACGCCGACGCCTTTCGACCGAGCCAGTGCTCTCGCGGCTTCTCTCACCTTTCGGCGCAACTCCGCTCTCCTCGCAGCGTATCTCGGGTCATCCAGATTCCAGTTTGCAAAACAACGACCTCTCTTTAATTGTGTCGAGCTCTCCTGGAGGAGGTTGGAACCATTCTTCTGACTCCCACTCCGATCATGTGCCGCCAATACCTGTCGTTGCTCAGGTCCACTCCCCCCCCTCCCCCCCGTTTCGCTGTATTAATTAATTCTTTCCGTCTTCCTCTTGTCTGGCCAGCGCGAATTCTTTTTACTCTCGTGAGCTGTGAACAGACGCACTTGCCCAAATCCGCTAGGTTGGGCGTAATAAATAAATAAATACAACGGACATCCCAAGCTAGGGCTGGGTCGAGGACAGACACGTCCCCACCTTTGCTTTGCAAAAGCGAGGGGGGAGGGCGCATCGCCGCGCGGAGAGGGCTGGGCACAGGGCATAGGTTGGGCGTGCTTTCACAGCCACACCGCGGCAGAATTCTTTTTTCGGACGAAATTCTTTTGCCATGGCCCGATCGGACCTCTCCGCGGCGCCGCGGCTGGTCGACAAGGCGACGCGCGAGTGCGGCCAGGCTGGCTCGGGCGAGAGCGCTTGGGTCGCGCTGAAGGACTTTGCGCGCTGCTCGGACGCCCATCTCCTCGCGATCGCCGGCGCGGTGTGGGAGCACCTCGGCGCCCCGCACTCGCAGGCTCGCTGGCAGGCGCTCGAGCTGTGCGCGCGGCTCTGGCCTCGCTCCGCCGCCTTCCGGCACGCGCTGATGCGCGACATCCCCACCTTTGTCCAGCTCGTGTGCGCCATCGCGCCAGCCGCATCTGCTGGACGCGCCGCCGCTGCCCGTGGCGGGCTGCCACCGCCCGAGCACTGGGCGAAGCAGCTGCATCGGCGCGGCGTCGAGCTGATCGAGAGGTGGCACGCGTCGCACGGGCACCTTCCCGAGTACCGCCAGCTCGACCTCGCTCGCCGGCGCGTCTGCACCAGCGCTGCCTCCGCGTCGGCGTCTCTGGACGACGGCCCTCAGGCGCAGCGGTGGGCAGAGCAGTGGCAGCAGCTGCGGGACGGAGGGGCGGAGGCGAGCCTCGCCGAGGCGGCGGCGGCCGTCGTGCAGCTCGGCACGTGCGTCCAGATCATGGCACCGGTGATGGACGAGGCGGACGGGGCGGACGAGGCTGCGGCAGCGGCTAGCGGCGCGAGAGGAGGCGCGAGAGGAGAGGCGGCGGCTGCGGCGGCAGGGCAGGCGGCGGCAGCGGCGGGAGAGGCTGCGGCGGCGGCGCGGCGGCCTCGCCAGGGCGGAGCGACGGGCGAGGAGATTGCTGGCGGGGCGGCGGCGGCGGGACTTGAGGTCGCGGCGGAGGAGATGGAGGAGGAGGGAGAGGAGGAGAGAGAGGAGACGGAGGAGGAGACAGAAGAGGAGGAGGAGGAGGAGGAGGAGGAGGAGGCCGCTAATCTGGCCGGCGCACCTCGCATGCACGCACTCGGCGCGGGCGCCGTGCAGATCGACCTGCGCCAGCCGGAGCAGCGCAGCGAGGAGGAGCGGGCAGCCCTCGGGGAGGCGCTGCAGGGTGCTTGCCGAGAGGTGTGTGCTGCGCACTTTCGAGAGACACTTCCTGGACACTTCCTGGCTGCCTGCCGTGTGCTGCGAACCACCGAGGGCCTTCTGCCGCCATCTAGTCAGGCATCAGCCCAGCCCCTCCCCTGGCGCGCTTCCTCAGCGCGCGCTTCCCTTCGGGACCAGGCGCGCCTCCGCCTCCTCCCGAAGCTTCGCGCGCACCT